TAAACTATTTATGTATCTAATTTAAATTAATCAGAAATCGATTTTTTTTTTTTTTTTTATTAGATAAAATAGAATATTTACAATCTGTAATTTATATACATACAATAAGTAAATATGATAACAAAGAAAAGGTAGGTATAACATGAATGGCGTGAGGAGGGAGGTCCACCAGTGTGGATACTCACTAACTTGGGGGAGAGAGTTTTATTTTTTTTTTATTTTTTTTTTATTTTTGTTTTCAATTAGTGCAGTTCGGGATTTAGGAGATCACGACACCAGTGTCTTTTTAATCGACGTGGGGGGTTATTTGGCATGAATTCACTGGCCAAGTTGGAAATCAATGGATTTGTGTGGTTAGCTGTTTTGGTGTGTAACTTTTTGTAGTAGTTTTTGGCTGTTTTGGAGACTGTTTCAATTTTAAGATCCTTGTGAAGTGAGAGGTTTGAGACGTACCATGGCGCGGATGTTATTGGCCGAAGGGAAATAGACTGGAAGGCTTGTATGGTCCGTATTTGGGAAGGCTTGGCACATCCCCAAATTTGTATGCCATATGCCCAGATAGGTTTTAGCATTGATTTGTATAATAGTAATTTGTTGTCAATAGAGAGTTTGGACTTGAGGATAGGTCGTAGTAGATGAAGTCTGGTGTTGAGAGTCTTTCTTTTAGTTTTGAGGTGTGGGCCCCAAGTTAGACGCTTGTCTAAAATTAGACCTAAGTATTTGGTTTGAGTTGTGGTTTGGATTGGATTGTTTTGAAAATAGATTGTAGGAAGAACAGCTTTTCTTAAAGTAAAAGGAATGTTAAAGGACTTGTCTGTATTGATTTTTATTCTCCATTTGGTGGACCATTGTGAAATATTGTCAAGATGAATTTGGAGGTTTTGGTATGCTGTTGTGGAATCGGGATGGGATGAGAGGATTGCCGTGTCGTCGGCGTAAGTGGCTATCAGTGTATTAGAAATCGATTTATTCCACAATATTGGTATTTAATTCAATTATAATATATACTAATACTTTATATGTTATTAATTGTATGAACGTAGTATAGGATAATGTAACCATCAATTCAATTGTTTTCCTTAGTAGACAAGGTAGTAGTTATATAGATTTTAGTATAATTATTTTCGTTACGTCGTAATTTATGGTACTTGACATTATGAGTATCATTTTTTTAGTTATGTTTTTATATCTTCTACAGTTGTAAGTTATAACTTAAACTTAAATAGTGAAACAATGAACAAACTCAAATACTCAATATAGATGTTTTTCTACTTAGGTGTTTTTAAATTTAAATTAAGCTTGATAATACAATTTTGTCAGTAATGCTTTTTTACGTTTGCATACAGTGTTCATAAATAAGGTAAAATGATATGTTGCAGGTGTTGGTAGTGGTCTGACAACTACAGGTGTCGTCGAGAGGAAGAGGATGAGGTATAGTTATGAAATGAACTCGAATACCGTAGAATGTTTTTATAATTTATTGTATTATTCTCAATATATAGGCACTTTAAATGTAACGGGTAAACTATTAGTCTGTATAAGAATTTTTTTCAAAGAGCATTATTCTAATTGTTTAGAAAAGGAATCGGTTTCATCTGAATATTTTCCAAGTCCAAAATAATAAATTAAAAGATTGACTTGCGTGAAGGTGCTCTCGCTATTTGATATTATTGAATTATTTTTAATAATATCCTTATTTTTTAGTAAGTTCAATTTTTTAGATAAATTGAATAAGTCCTAAATGAAATATCTATTTTATAAAACATAATATATTATATAATATAAATATAATTATGATTATTTAATTTTTATCTAACTTCTGTAAATTTTCAGGTTTTTTGACTGAAAGCATATTTTATCGACGTTAATTATAAAAAAAACTAATGAAACACGATTTTTTTCCTCGAAATAGCTTAAAGAAATGACAAAATATTTTTTAAATTGTATTCTGTATGGAAAATGCTCATTAAAAAATTTGGTGGAATTTGATTATACAGCCATCATATGTAGTTTTTGAGTTACACCTACAAAACAAAATCGATTTGATCGGAAACCGATTACCTACATAGAAAAACAAAAAATATAACACAACACCACAACACATGTGAAAAAAAAACAATCATCGTTGTAAAATCAATATATTCGTCGGTTAGCTTAGAGTCTAAAATTATAGGTAAAATATACCTTAAATTTTTCAATATTTTTTTCTGCGCCAGAAAAAATCATCAATAATAATATTTTATAGTTCTATCCGATTCGTCAAATAAATATCAGAAATTTGCATTTCTCCCTGAACTTGATAATAGTACCTAACTGTGTTTCCACTTTTAGTTCCATTTTCCATTTCCATTGAGACGGCAGAAGGCCAACTGAAACTAAATATTAAAAAAAGGACATTAATACATTATACATTTTTTGATTCCAAGTGGAGTCACGGTGAGTTTTTTATTTTTTGTGTCTGTAGGACATAGGATATGATGTATTTTTACATATTCAAAATAGTGCTTCGATTTTCCAGTAACAATATTCTAACTAAAGCATTAGGAAAAGTAATAAAATAAAATACTATAAATTAGACTTTTCAAGTCGATTTTGGTTTTTAGTTAACTCTAAAAAAAATGTCCCTTAAGATAGGTATACAGAGTTGCCACTTTATAATATTATCATTTTCTATGCGTACATCATAACATTTTTCAAGCTAATGGCTTTAGTCACCGGGATTAACTTCAATAAAAAAAATATATACATATATTTTTGTTTGTACTTCAAATACTGAAAAAAGATCAAATTTCTAACTTTCACAAATGTTGTGTCAACTTGAAGTGTTGAGGTACTTTAAGTTAGCAATACTCCACACAACATACATTTTAATTCTGTTATTATGAAATGGCTAGATTAATATGTACGATGTACCTATTTGTACATAATTGTGTTACTTAAAATAAAAAGATTTTCTCACATGCAATTATATTTAAAAGTTTATTAATATATCATTATAATGTTCTTTGAAATGAAAGTTTTACTATTGTTTCTACATTAAAAATGAGACTTGATTTGTAGTAAATGGTCACCAGCTGTGATTTATTATTCCACCCTTATATTGTACGACAAATATTAATAAATATTTTATATTTATTATTCATCCTGATCTCTCTACTTTATTAAAATGACACTGATTTCTATAGCTATGTTGTTATGAAAATAATGCCGTTAAACATTTTTACTGAAAAACTATACATTTTTTTATATTACAATTTATCTTAATTTAATCTAGATAAAATTGTCAATTAATTATTTTTATCTGAATAAAACATGTATTCTTTATCTCTATCTAGATAAATATTTAGTTATCTATTCCCAATACTGAGCTCCTCATACCCACTTTTTATGTTGTTTATCGTTTTTATTTTAAGTATCTGGTTCATAAAGATAAATATTCTTAAATTTATGTTTGTGACCTAAAAAACAAAAAGGCACTCGTGCACCATTTTTAGCATGTAAGCTGTGTCAACATAATATGTTTATTAGAGTGTTTATTTAACACCGTTTGTTTAAGACGAAAAAGAAATAGGTATGCATAAAAAAATATCTACATATGTATTAAATAAAATATCATAAAATATTAAATATCCATAAGCTTTGTGGTTTTTAAAATTATTATAAGTTCACATTTTAACAATATTCATCAAAATATTGAAAATTTGCAATAAATTGAAAAGTTAAAACGAAGATTTTTATGAATAGTTCACATTGTAACCAAAAAATCTAAAATAATAAATAAACACATTGTTTTTATAAAATATATAGTCATCTGAATTTTAAATTTTAACGAAATTAGATATTGAAACGAAGAATAATATGATTTTAGTTAGTTTATATTTATAGATATTATTTATCATGATTAAATAATATGAATAATTATAGTTTTATAGTACTTATTTTATAGATACCTATTTCATTTATGTTTCAAAAGAAGAAAAAAGTAGATGGATACATCAATATATTTTATACTTATCAAAACTATTTAAAACCTAATACTTAAGTTTATAAGATTTCAAACTATCGTACGGAAAGTACTTTAGGTTACTTGAAAGTAATAACGTAAAAAACGCCATACATTAATTAAAAAATGTTTTTTTTTCACACCTAAAAAACAAAATCGATTTTGCTTATAAGTTCTTGCTTTTAATTTTTTTTTCCCGCCGCTTTTGAAAACTAGTGATAAGTTTTTAATTTTGTTTCCCCAATAATACCAACTAGATTCACTTAAACACCTAAAAAGATAGGTACTGAAGTTGATAACCGAAACATTATTTCGACAATCTACCGTATATACACAAAAAAAAAGTTGTTATTTTACATTAAGTGTTGATTGTGTGACTTATACACATAGCACGATACTCTATATTTTCGTTTTCGAAGAAAATGTATTAATCATAAATATTTAATAATTAGGAATAAGTAATTATTCATCGAATGAATTGTGTGTATATCTACCAAATGGGAATTAGCCAATTAGGTAATTTTTACATTGTATTCGTTTTTATGGTGATACACAAAACGTCGGAAAAAATCGGTTAGAAAAATAAAAAAAATGTACAAAACACAAAAACATATTATGTTAAAAAACAAACATCATTGTAAAATCAATACATTCATCGCTCAGTATCTAAAATTAAATGGATTTAAGTTCAAAAACCGACAAAAATCATCAAAATCTTGAAAATCAGCAAATTATTTTGTACTCAAAAATAAATAAAATATTCAATTTTTACATAGCTAAGCATTGAAAAGTTAAAACAAAGAAATATAAATCAAGTTATATGGTGTTTAACAGTTTGTGTATGATTTATTTATTGGTTAATATTTTTGACCGAACGGGAGCTTTTATTATATAAAAACTTTTATATTATAAATGCTTTTATAATGTACCTCTCCCGCGATTACGACGCGTGGACCTACTCTCGTAGACGATGGGCGTGGTCACTGTCTTCTGTGACGGTGGCATACGGCGCAACGACGATCTCTTGTGTGCTGTATATTTTCAACTTTTACAAGAACCTCCCTGCTCTATGATATTATATTTTAATCGAAAACAAAATTAATGGCACACGTCATGATCGAAACCTGCGTTGAAAACATATGTACTAGGGGTCTCGTTTTTGTACGTGAATATGAATGTACGTGTTCACGGATACTGTGATCACGTGAATGAAACAAAATAAATCACGTAAAGTTAATACAAGTGAATCAACGAAAGCTTAATCACGTGAACAAGTATTTGAATCATATTCACGTGAATACGTGAATTAGTATATTCACGTGAAAACTGAATGATAAATATGCCCAATATCAACTATTTTAAATGTATTGTTAAATTTCACCACTTGGCCCGTTGCGTGTTTTATCTTATCTGGTTGTTGGATAAGTAGTGGTGTGCTGGGAAATTTTTCTGTGCACGTAATAATTAACGGTGTCCGGTTGCGAAAATAGAACTCTATCGTCGTTGATAATAAGATATTAATGTAGTATACGAGTATACGATGCGTTTAGTTGGAGTGCAACCATTAAGTGATCGCATTCATCAAAAATAAAAGTTTTCTTGACAAAATGGTGAAAAGAAAAAGTTGGGTATGGGATTTTGCCAAACGTGAAGGTGATCGCGCCTTTTGCGATTTATGTGACGGTGAAAATAATAATGAATATTCTTGTGTTGGCGGCACTACAGGGTCTTTAATAAGACATTTACAAAATGTTCATGGTATGGCACCACCAGATGAGTCAGTAAGAAAGAGGTAATTAATAAATTATATTTTTATTTATTCATTTATTCAAGTAAAATAATTGTTAATTTTCTTAAATAAAACATTTTTAAGGCCTGCATACGAATCGCGTCCCCGATATAAAAATTGCGATTTGTGAGTTTGTAACATATTAATTGCGTCCTGGGTTTTAAATAATGTATTTACATCGGACACAATTAGTGTAGTTGTTAAATATTATCTGGACGCAAATGTTCTATACATTTTTATGAAAGATTTAATAGTCCCCAAAAAATGGGAGGGTACTGAATCAAAAATTTAAATTTAAAAATAAAGACATCCCTATAGTGTACATGTACATTAGTATAATATTCTATTAGAGTCAAATTTTCATAATCAATTAATATTTATAATATAAATAAATACATTTTGTAGGTCGAAATTGGGGTTCAAACGTGTATCTAATGATTTAGAAGTAGATTCTACATTGAGTAATACAACTTTTACCGATAAAGATGATGATACAATTCTAATTAACAATACTACATCAACTTCTTCAAATTCTGAAAATATCGAAAAATCTATACCTAGAAAACGTCGTTATGTTCCTAAAACATGTGGGTCAAGTGTTAATCGAGAATGTAATCCTGAAAGAACAGAACAAATTCACCAGGCACTGGCTTCATTGATTGCAATGAATCAGTTACCTATATCGTTTTGCTCGAGTCCTGGCCCCTGGGTTTTGTCAATTCATGGCTGTTGTAGAGCCTAATTATAAAATATGTATATGTAGAGATGAAGTAATGAAAAAAAGGCTACATTCATTGAAATTAAAAGTTGAGAATAAAATAAAAAATGAATTAAGAAATGTGAAAAGTTTAGTTTGTACCACTGATGGTTGGTCTTCAATGGTACAAAATTCATATATATCATTAACTGCTCACATAATAAACAACGAATGGTTGCCAAAGTCATTTACTTTAGCCACACAAGAGATGGAAGAACGACATACGGCTGTAAATCTAGCAGAAAAATTAACAAGTATATTAGATGACTGGGAAATTAATGGTAAAGTTTCAACTGTTATCACAGATAATGCAAAAAATGTGGTAAATGCTGTCAAATTACTACCTCTTAATATAGACAATGAAAACATGGATGTGACATGCGCAGCTCACAGTCTACAATTAGCCATTAGTATTGCACTAAAAGATGAAATATTTTCAGAACTAATAAAACAATGCAGTTCTTTAGTTGGGCATTTCAAACATTCAAATGTAGCTAAACAGTCATTATTTAAAAAACAAGAACAACTAGGAATTCCTCATAAGTCACTGGTTCAATGTTGTAAGACACGATGGAACTCAATATACTTAATGTTAGACCGCCTTTTACAAAATAGAACCGCAATTTTAAATGTATTAACAGACAGAACCGTTACGTCTTTGTATATTGCTCAAAAATTAGAAATAACAGAATCACAATGGTTAAAAATAGAAATTCTCGTAAGTCTTCTGAAGCCACTTTTTATTGTGACAAATTTATTTTGTTCTGAGAATCATTCACCAGCATCGATGGTTAGATCATTACTCGCACTGCAATTAATGGAAAATCATTTAAAAGAAAAAGAAAATGATGATCAAAATGTCACGTATTTTAAACGTACAATAATACATGAAATTAAAGAAAAATTTAAACTTGGCTGGACTGAAACAAGTTCCGTCTCTGTCAAACAAATCGCGTCTTTTCTAGATCCTCGGTATAAAGATTTAGAATTTGAACCGATTGGTGCAAGAGAAAAAATTCGAACGGTTGTAAAGGATTTACTTGAAAGATTTAGAACCCAAAACAATAATTTGGAACAAGAACGACCAGTTCAAAGGAGCGATCTCGAATTTTTGTATGGAAATATAATTACAGACAGTAATGACAGAAGTATTCAATTTCAAAATTATATAGCTGAACCTCAATTGAGATTCGATCTAAATGCGCATTTGAATGGTGGAAATTTAGAGAGAATAAATATCCAGCTCTTGCAGAATTAGCGAAGCAATATTTAGCTATTCCTGCCACGTCCGTCAGCTCCGAGAGATGTTTTTCTACTGCTGGAAACATAGTTACTTCGAAAAGGACATGTTTACTGACTAAAAATGTAAACATGCTGATATTTTTATACCAAAATCGAGAATTATTGCACTAAATATATTTTTGAGTTTAGATGAGCATCACATGGATGTAATTCCATTATTAAATAATTAAAAAATAATTAAAAATTATTAATGAGATGTGATTTTGTCCATTATTTTGTGTATCTATTTGTTATAATATTTACTAATATTTACTTATACATTATTTATTATTACATTATCTATTTGGTTAAATTTGTTTCATGTATTTATATATTTATTAAAAAACATTAAATTATAAAAGTTATTATACAAAACATTAATTATTAATATTATTTACTGAGCGTAGGTACCTAAACAGTTATACTTAATGTTAAGCCTAGTTCACACGTCATAGACACTACATACAAAGACTAATGGTGACAAACGTGATTATATAAATTAATAGTTCACGTGATTATAAAAATTCACGGATTCACGTGATTATCCAATTCACGGAGTCGCGTGAATATAATAATTCACGGATTCACGTAAACAAAATTATAAATACACGTGAAATTTTAAGCAACGGGTTGTATAAATTGAACCTAAATTTCACGTGAACCCGTGAAAATGTGTACACGTGAAATAAGGAGCTCTAATATGTACCAACAAGGCAACAAGAACTGAACAATCAGAAGGGCTTATATAAATGACAAGTTCTCGCATGTTTTAAATTATTATTTGTTGGTGAAAATTCATGAGCAGTAATACTGTGCAGAAAATCATAATTGTTTTCTGAAAAATATGGCTTCAACGCTGTTTAAGTTTTTTGTACTGTTTATCTGCATAACATTGATCCATAATTCGTCACAAGGAGGAAGTAACTATAATTTTGTCTTTACAAACTATCATTTAGATTACTCTTATTAATTAAAATTAGACACCTAACCGTTTGACGTTTACAAGATAATTATATTATGTTATATTATATTATAATCGTTTACTCTGGAATCTTATACAATATCAATTGTGTATGATCATAAAATATTTACGATATAGGTACTTAAAATATCATGTATAATGTGTATATGTGTAAATATGTAATAACTGTAATTTAAAATTAAAATTTTAATCTTTTTCTAGGTGACGACGAAGTAGAATCAAATAAAGGCAAATAATTCAATTTTTAATTTCTACATTATTTTTTACCTATGATCTTTATCCTGTCCAACATTATAATAACAACATTATTTTACAACATTTAAAATTTTAAAATACTGATGATAAACATATAAAATCGTTAGGTAATTGTTATTTTTATAGCTATGAGACTTGAAAAAATTAATACCAGGGTTTTCATGCGTAGCTAATAGCTAATAAAATTGAATATTCTAAAAATATATACAGAGTGTAAGTAATAGGGAGATTAGGCAAAAGAAATAATATTTGTTTTAATCAATATTTTTTTATTTAATTTTTTTAAAGATAGTTTATTGACATTTGCGCTACATTTATAATATAACATATTTTATTTTTATTATTTAATACTGAAAATAAAATTTTTATATCCATAATCCATATTTTAAATTCAAAATATTCAATTCGTAAATCTGGTTTATTGAAAAATGTGGAATGTAAAAATGTTAATGTAAGTCATGTAGTTCATTAAAAAAAAAATTTTAATCTCATTCTGGCGTTAAATTAAGTGAATACAGTTGTAAAAAAACATTTTAAATTTAATAAGTATAAACTTATTTCAACATTTTTTGAGAATTTCTAAGTTACACTACTTTTTAAAATACCACTTAAAATAAATGGGTTACTTTTAAAACATTTTGAAAGTCACAAAAAATAAGCCACTTGACTTCAAGAAATGTTTTTACAATCAAATGTTTCCTAAAACCAGATTTAAAAATTGGCTATTTCAAATTGTACGAATACATTTATTAAAATGTTAATTTTTTTATTTTTAGCATTAAACAATGTAATATTGTATATTTAGTGCAAACGTCAACAAATTATATATAAGAGAATTTTTTTTTTAAATATTGCTGTGATCAAGTTATTTAATTTGTAAAATATTTCTGTTACATCAAAAATCGAAATACGTAAATGTATGAAAAAATAATAAAATTACGCTGTATAGTGAGACTATATTATAAGATACCAATATTAATGATTCGGAATATGAATATACTTATGATGTTCTGTGGTTATAAAAATTGGGCATTATAGCCACTTATTAAAAACGTTTATCCAAGAATATTGTAAACAGTAACAATTATCAGATAATAAAATATCAACGACGTACTTACTATGGGTATAATGCGTAAATTGTAAATTTGTTATAATAGTCAAAAAAAAAAAAAATGGAAAGGAAATTCGTTCCGTACCGTATCCATGAAACAAATAAAACTTATAAAACTGTAATTTTATCAATTATTGTGTGTCATCATATTATCATAAAACAATATCGTAAAATAATATTGGTATATACTATATTGTTAGTGTATAATTTAATTAGAACCTTTCTATACGTTAGGTTTTGTTATTAATTAAGTTCCATTAACCGAACGCTTTAAATTTGTATTAATTGTGTTTATAATTAAATTTTTAGCAATTTACAACCTTTTACTTTAAAAAATCATTAAGATGACGTCGCACCTGCATGTGTCGTCTCTATCTTACTGACGTAGTGACGTATAACATACCGATTTTGCATTCACCAGTTTTAATAGTGTGCTGTTAGTTTTGACATTAGAGTGAAATGACATTTAATACAATTAAAAGGTAAGATTATTATAGAGCCCTAAGCTGTTTTTTATGGATATTAATATTGTTAAGTAAGTTATGACCTTTTTGAAACTCTACATTTTAAAATGATCATAACTTACTTAAAAATTATAATATCCATAAAAAACAGTTCGGGGCCCTAGATAATAATATATTACCTTTCAATTGTGTAACAGGTTAATTCACTCTAATATCAAAACTAACAGCAAACTATTGAAACTAGAGAATGACGATTTGATATGTCGTACGTGTGTAAGACGGAGACAACACATGCGGGTGCGACATCCTCTTAATAACGATCGTATAACCTAACCATGGATGTTAATTAAAAGAGGTGCCCTTGATTCCAAAATCATTTCTGTCGAATCTTGAATTATAATATTATATTTTTAAATCTTAGATTTATAATGACAAATTGTTAATGAATTTTGAACTCGAAATAATTTACAAATTTTCTAGACTGATGAATTTTGTCGAAAATTTGAAATTCAGACGTTCATAAAAATGTATTGTAGACTTACGCTCAACATTTTTTATATTTTCTTTAACAACAACTTACGAGAACCTTGTGACCGCTCGAATTACATTTTCAAGTTTTGTGTAGGGAAATAATGAACATTAATAAATATTGATTTTTAAAAAACTTATAACTATCGACAATTTCATATGCCTTTATAAATAGCTCGAAATTAGCAAAAATGTTGTGGGTAGAAAATACATTCAGTGAAAATTATACGTAAATATCTAAAGTTATTAATTATAAAGTTTCACTAACTAAGTACACTTTCCTACCGAAAAAAGTATACTGAACTACTGAAGTGAAAAATCGAAGCATTATTTTGTCTACTTATTGTGTACAAAGACACAGACAAGAAAAAAAATGTTTCAAATTTGAAAAAATACATCATTGTAAAATTATTACATCCATAGCTTCTCTCAGAATCTAAAAAATGTTATAACATACATCATATAATGCGAACAACAAAAAATTTAAAAAAAATTAAAAATAAATAACAAATATTTATTTGATCAAAAGTTATTAATTTGTGAAGTATTTATGTTACATCCTGTGTACAAAATTTATTTTTAAAGACACTTTACGTAATATTTAAACAAAGAAAATATTTTTTATTAATTAATTTGTTGTTTATTTAATAATATTTCCGGAAACTTTAAACTGTTAACCTAGAATGGCTTTTGTATGTAATGATTAAAAATCAACATTAAATGCACATTTAACATGGCCACAGTGAGCTACACGAATATATTATAGAACTAGGTTCACTGACTCCTATTCAACGAATGTCCCATTATTCGTCCCGATAATTGTGTGACTGGCGGTGTGTTTTTTACATTAAGTATGTAGGTAGATATTTAATTTAGATATCTTATTTATATAAGACAACTCTATGTTATTAGAGTTATTATGTACTTACTACATACTTACTACAGGTATAATGTGTTTATCTATACAATTATGGTAATACTGTCCTAAAAAAATAAAATTTATATTTTTTTTTCTAGATTTAACGGAAAATGTAGAAGGTAGTAAATATTTTTTTTATCATATTTTTTAATTTCTACAATATCTACAAAATATTTTTTTCATACATTTTAAGCGGAATAGGTACATAAGAGGGTTTGGTTGGATTGATTGGAGAAACTATTTAATAATAGTACTTCATGACGTAGGTAGTAATATTTAGTAATATATAGTTAGATACATAAAAAAGAAGATTTAATTATTTTCCGGAGGGATTTGGAATCTTTGGTTGATTCTTAAAGTTAAATTACGTAGGACCATATGTTTGAGTATGAGTTTTTCAAGTACTTTGAAGAAGAAAGGTGGAAGGCTAAATTGGTACGTTCTAGCTAGGGAGGTCAGGTGGTTTCCCAGACTTGAGTATCATAAATCATAATTATGATCGAGAATTTCCAAAGTAGAGGGAAGTATGAGAGCCTGAGCATGGAGTTATAGATGTTCACTTTTTCTAAGACACCGTAAGCCAATAACTATGCTCCTTGTTGAATTTACAATGTCAGGGTGTTAACAACATCATCTATACCTTGTCTAATTTATCTTTATCTAATCTAGTTTCGAGATCAATTTGGTTAGACAGTTGAATTCTATATATGGCCTTCAATAGGGTTTGATTGGCTTATTTGTGACTACGGTGTGTATTGTGAAGAGAACTGATGAGTGATCGGAGCATGGATCATTTGCAACCAAAAAACAAAAAAAAATAATAATTTCCACTAAAGAATTAAGAAAATGAGTTATTAACTAAAATAAATGTATACATTGTACACAAATTGCCGGCATTTTTAAGAACAAAAATATTCCATCAAAACTTACCAAACCTCCTAATATTATTGCAATGCCCTGTTTTTTTATTTCAATCATATGTATTTTATCATTTAAAAGTTATATTGATACTAATATTCAGTAACCATGGTGTTGCTATACACTTGATGCGTATTATTATTTTTGTAAAATAAATAAATATATATTATTACCATCCCCCATTTCAACCACTCATGTCCTTTCACAGTGTCTGAACTATCTATGTAACAAATTTCATTTCAAATCATTGTATACCTATGAAAAACGATTCTGAGCAGAGACGATATGTCAGATTAGGATGTTTTATATTGTTATTAGGTACTTATGATTAATATGGTAGCTGGTAAGTTGAATTAATATTATGGTATATAGAAAATGCTTACACAAATATTTAGTGAAAATGTCATGTATCTACTGTAATTTTTTTTAGAATTATTAAACCAATGTCTATAATAGAGTATACAGTAAACAATTTAAACACATAATTACACTATGATTCTAATATGCCAAGTCGATCATGTTTAGCTAATCCAACATAAAATACCGGATAAAACAACATACAATTATCATAAAATTACGTGCAATTCGTTAAGTTATGCGACATATAGGAATCCAATATCCATACCCAACTGCCGTAGATCTCGAATTCATTTGCGTAGTGGTCTACAATCTACATCATCGTCGCCTTGGTCAAAACTTTACTTTATCTGCTGACTAAGCGGAGTTTTTATCCGTTGAATACTTGAATTTATGTTAGCGATCGAGGGCTGTTTTTTGGATTCTTCCTAGTCCGTCTGTAATCGAGTTAAAGATATCAACAAATATAACACAAAATGATAAAATAAAATAATGTAAAATTCGTTAAGTTAAACAATGTATTTGTTTATACCTGTTCTGAATATTTGATGTGTATGTCGTCACTTGTCGTTGTCATTGTCTATGTCGTCGTAATTTTCATTATTGACGTCATATTCATCATCGTCATTGCCATCGGTCTATTAAGTGTCGTTATCGGTTTGGTCGAACGTATACTGTGATGTGTACCA